CCCCCCCACCTTTAAAAGTATGAATTATTTTAAAAATCAAAAAGAGCTTCTGTTTACTATATTTGATGCTCTATGCATGCGTGTTGATGAATGTTTATATGTGAACAAAAGTCTAAATTAAATGTTCATCAAATAAAGAGACGTCTCTTCAGAAGACTTCTCAATTCATATGGATTTTGCAATCTTTATAAATCACACGAGTATACTTCAGTGTACGCAGATAAAGCTGAACATGTAAAGAATTGTGATTAATCTCATTTTTGATTAATCTAACAGAATAAAATTTGCTGGAAATTTCTGGTATATTTAGAGAAAGATCAAATATACATCCATCTAATTTAAAAATGTAACTTAGCATGTTCTAATTGCGGGAAGCTAATGCAAAAGCAACAGTATTTCCCTATAATGGCTTACTGGCCAAAAGCTTATGTAGAATGGAGGAGTGCATTATGGTCGGTTATATGATATAGTCTCTTTCACATGGTCGTTTATGGGAGGGTGAATGCATTGATTTAGCCTCAGACGTGCAGATGGCAGACATACACACACAAACATGCATATGCACACACACACAGCTCCTCAGCCCTGTTATGATGACATTCAGAGCACAATACCAAACCAGCGTAATCTCTGACTCACACAGCACCCATTCAGCCATAAAGGGCAACATCTGTGTGTTTGCATGTGTGTGTGTTTATGACAGATTGCTGAGTCTTACCTCCCCGTAGTCGGTGGTGAGCACCAGGGTTCCATCTCCACAGGAGTTCACTGTAGACGGGACCAGCTGATCTTTATGATTCACCCACACTCGAGAACCCTGCAAAACACACACAAAAGCAGACAGACACAAACCAGCACAATCCCAGATTATTATATGTCCCAGTTGCTTGTAAGAGCCACAGAGCAATAAAACACAAAATCTTCATGTAGTCATTCACTGTTGAAATGTATGACTTTCAGGATGACCTGTGGGTGGCTTTTCATTTCTAAACACTCACAGATGCCCACACACAAAGCTTAGACATGTCTTTGTGCACAAAAGTTTGATTCAAGCCTAAAAAGTGTTTTTTAGCCTTTTATTATTCCAAAGCAGTGAAGTAAAGGCCAAACTGATACCCTCAGAGCACATTAAAAAGTAGAATGACAAGCACAGTCTTCCCCAAAAAACAACTGGGTGATTTTTACAGGATCATAGTATTACAATATCAATCCTGTTAAAATAAATCATTTTAAAAATCAAAAAGATTTATATAAAAAAATCTGTCATAATGTGACTTAAAAAACTGTAAAAAGTCTATATTGTTTTACCATTACCAAACTGCTGTTTTGTTATGTTTGTCATTAGGGTCTTTTCTACTTCAAAATTTCATGTTTCATATAATGTGTTACTTCACTTGCCACTTCTTTGTAATTATTTATGAAATGTACTTGCAATTTCTGGGTGAAAATTGTTTAATTGTTGAAAGTAAATCCAACCCGATTTCATGGCAATTCGTACATATTTTACTAGGTGGCTGATTCGCATGAATTTGTACGACCTCACTCATATGAATTTGTACGTTTTGTGAAAAATCGTACGTACACTGAAAAAAATGATTCATTGAATTTACTACATTTTTTTAAGGTAAGTGGTTGCAATCAATTTATTTTAGCTACATTTAAAAAAATTTATTTGACTAACTTTCAACATGTTTTTTTTTTAATGTAGCTAAAAAAAAATTTTTTTTGTAAAAAAAAAATTTATTTACTGAAAAAGTATCATTTTTTTCAGTGTATTTTACGAGGTGCCAAATTCGTAGGAATTCATGCAAATGACCACCCCGAACCCCACCCCTAAACCTCAAACAAAATCGTATACGAGTGAAGTCGTATAAATTGTTACAAATTAGCCATGCACCTCATAAAATACGTAAGAATTGGTTGTGAGATAGCACTGTTAAATTCTACACCAATTTCTTTAAGTGTACATTATATTCTGACATTATTTTCAATTAAGCTGAAATTACACAAGGCAATTTATTTACACTTAAAACACATACATAACTATAAGAAAATGTTTAAAACCTTACAAAAATTATACTTCAAAGATGATCTCGCCATCAGATTGGACAAGGCACATGTTTAATAGAATGACCCAACAACATTTCTCACATAATATTACAGAATTAAATAATCACTTACAAAGAAAATACAAATGAAGTATGAAAGGTTTTCAGACTAAGCAGATTTTTTACTTTTTACTTTACTAAATGTCCCCACTTTATAATTTGTAAATGCAATAACACACAGTGAGCAATGATATCATTTCGGATGTGCCCTCCTGCTCTTCTCCACAGTAAAGTGCTGTTCTTTGTGTAAGCACCGGACTGAATTATGGCCAGCTGTATGAAGTTAACTACTAATAATTGGGAAACGGATCGATAAGCCCTTAGCTTCAAAGAGGAAACTCAATACACAATCACCAGCTTCAACAAAAAAAAAATCACACATTACATTCAAAGCATTAAATGGCCCGGAAGAAACATCCATTTACATTTACATTATTATTTTGTGATAAAATTCCCCAATACTCACAGTATATGAGGTAAACTATCACAATGGTAACCTGACAGAATTCACAAATATTATTCTACTGTAATTAAAGAGGATTTTGAAAAAGTAGGCTATTTGAAACCAACATAGAAATCGTCTCGGTTACGTATGTAAGGAGGGAACGGAGACGTCACGTCGGATGACCGACGAATTGGGATCTCGCTTAGAGAGACCAATCCACTTCGAGTGTAAACTAAACGAGCCAATGCACATTG